CTGTCTCTCTCTCTCTCTGTCTCTCTCTCTCTGTCTCTCTCTCTCTGTCTGTCTCTCTCTCTCTGTCTGTCTCTCTCTCTCTGTCTGTCTCTCTCTCTCTGTCTGTCTGTCTCTCTCTGTCTCTCTCTCTCTCTGTCTCTCTCTCTCTGGCTCTCTGTCTCTGACTCTCTCTCTCTGTCTCTCTCTCTCTGTCTCTCTCTCTGTCTCTCTCTCTGTCTCTCTCTCTGTCTCTCTCTCTCTGTCTCTCTCTTTCTGTCTCCCTCCCTCCCTCCCTCCCTCCCTCCCTCCCTCCCTCCCTCCCTCTGTCTTTCTCTCTCCCATTTAAATAAAATCTGGCTGAGTTCTGAGACCTTCATTTTCTTGTCTTTTTTTATTCTTTAAATAGGGAAGAAAAATACGTCCAATCCTCCAGAACATCGTCCTTGATTCCTTCCCCCTCACCGGCTAGTCCTGCTGAGATTGTGAAACCTTAAAAACCAAGGACTGAAGGGAGGTTGTTGGGATCATTGAACTCCACACTCATGAGTGGATTCATGCCCATTTCAGGGGCTTTACCGATTTCAAGTAAGTCAATTCACTTTCGCAAGATTGGACTTTTCTAAAGAGTGAATCTAGTTCCTCTTGGGCCTCTTCTTCGTGTATTGTCTAGTAATATTGTCCATACATGCAGAGTTGTAAGCAGAAAAAACTTCTCTATAATAAATACACAGCATCCAGTATTTTGTTATAGCCAATAGAAAATTAGTATATTCTTCAATAAAATGAAGTTAGTAATAACAACATATTTGATTGGTTATATAAAAGTAATAATAACCTATTTAAGAAAGTATTATTTTCTATTATTGACTAGATAAATGATTTGTGCAAAGTAAGCAGAGGCAAAAAACTGAAAAAGAAGGGTTTTTTTTTTTTTTTTGTTTCACCTGGGATACCTTGAAGGGTACAGTACCTATTACTTTAAATATAAAATTATATGTAATTTGGTAAAAATTGTTTTATATTATGTGGAAATTTTTAGAATAATGACTAATATTTTAGCATATGATATAACCCTATTTTCCAAGCAGCAACAATGACCCACACTTCTCTACTCATTGAGACTAGTTGTGATGGTCACCATCTCTCTGTTGTGTATAGGAATAGATTAAAGGCTTTTTAAATCTGTCAACTTTTGGCCAAAAGCCAGAAGCTAAGTAGAATATTCTGAGTTGCCAGGGATCACAGGAACCTTGCCAGATACATTCTCCATGAATTTTAAGCCCCACCCACAGACTCAGCTTGTTACTGTTGTGTTGTTAATGTTTGAGAGGTCTAGAAATTGACTTTCCTCATGTTTCAATCTTCAGATGGCTACTTTCATGTGAGGATGGGTTTTCTATTTATCCTTGGAGACCTTTTCGAATTCTTCTTGGAACATCTACTTCAAAAACGCAAACTTTTCTTCTGTCTCACATTTTTGTATTTAATTTACCCCCATTTATCTATACTCAAAAATTCTTCTGTACTTTTCATCAACTTTCTCTTCATTTAGTGTGAGAAATTTCACTCTCTCTTTCATACCAGTGATTTGAGTGAGTCCGGTACAGTCGACTTATGGTGATTTCCATTCCTTTTGCAGCAAGGATCAATAGAAAACCCACCCTGAAGTGAAAGGTGCCATCTGTAGGTTGAAACAGGAAGAAAATCAATTTCTAAATCTCGCAAAAATTAACAACATAACAACAACAAAGTAATATTGTTTACAATGAATATTTATATATTTGTTATATGTAACAAATATAAAATAACAGTTATATATTATCAAATTCTATCTCATAAGTCACTACCAACTTCCAGGAGAGTTTCTGATGGTAAATTGTTATAACAATACCTTAAATAATGAACACATCTTTTTTCAGTCAATTAAGCATTAGGAGGAAATTTCATGCTTCAATCTCACTCCATCATTTTTGCCCAGGCATTAGCAACAAAAAGTAAAACTGCCCTGTAGTTATTGTGTTCCTGTTTTCCATTGATTACACATGCAACATCTATTTATTGAGCACATATTTGGTCCCATGAGTTTCACTCATACTTTTTTAGACCAAGGGAGAAAAAGATTTCCATATTGTAAAATGGATGATCTCTTCCTACAAACCCTACAAACCATAGAAGTCAGAACTTCTGACATTATGCTTTGGTAACTCATGACCTCTCAAGCTTCCTAGTAATTCATATCACAAGCCTTGACTAGTACTTCCTCTTAACCTCTCAAAAGCCTTCGACAGATGGAAAAAAAACTAAACTGCCATACCTGATACAAATTGTTTGTATGCAAGGAGCTGTAGAGCTAAAGCCCCAAATAACTAAGTGATGCAAGCCCCAAGGACACAGTTCACTTCTGATGTGATGTAGAAAAGAAGAGAGCCAATGACATACACAATGTTCTTATGTTCTCAACTAAGCAGCATTGCTGCCTTGTTTTATCCTGAGGATGCTCAGCTCTCAGAGGCATCCAATCATCCTCTGCAAACATTTAGGAGTAGTAACCAGAAGTGACATGATCTCATTATCCCCCAAGGCCTTGTCTGCTCCGAGTATTGGTTGGAGAAAGTGACATGGCCATTAGCTTTGTGTCTGGCTTGTGTAAAGACGATTGTCAATAATGAGCAGGACTGGCAGACTCTTCAGTTCTCAGGGAGCAGACCTGGAAATGTTGTCAAGCAACATAACGCTTTCCAAATTGAGTTATGCTGAGCATGTCGCAGAGTGCATGCCTGGTCTGCAAACTAGAAGATTTGTGTAGTAGGAGACACATAGCATCTGTACTTTAACCACCCCCTCCAAAGAAAACCAACCAACCAACAAGCAAAACAAACAAGCAAACAAAAACAGATTTTGTGTACCAATTCCTCACTATTGGTATGTTTGAGGATAAGCATTACCTATTACATTCTTTTTGTACCGCAGTAAGCCCCAAACTCCTCTTTAAGAAACAGCTCTCTATGTCAAGGTTTACTTCTGTGCCATCTCTTGCTATGGTATATTTAAATATTAAGGTCCTGGTACTTGCCTGTGTCTGCATGAGGTGAAACTGTGTCCTGGTCCAAACTGCTGCTCTGGGGATCAAGGTCTAGAAAGAGAGAGAGTAGGGATGGAAGGGCAAGAGATGCGAAGAATGGAGACAAGACAGAAAGTCTGTTCAAGTCACATTTATTGAAAGGAAATCCTGGGTATATATATATATAAGCATAAGCAGGGACATGCAGCTGAAGACACTTTACCACGTGCAACTTGCAGCTGGGGGCATTAAACAACAAAACAAGATATGTGAGAAAAACAAGATGTTTATCAGAGTGTGCTCAGCTGTTGTAGGCTGTTGACAACAAGTCTTTTGTCAGGGTATATAGCCTGAGATGGCTGCAAAGATGATAGCTACTTTCTGCTAGGAGTTGGCTCCCAACAAAACTGAACCTCTCGTTAGATACTTCACCCTAGGAATGAATACATATTGATGGGTCTTGGAGAATGTGACATGATTTGTCATTTTTTAAGTCAGCCAAAGGTAATGCATTCCTTAGACACATAACCAGAAGAAAGCTGAGGTTCTCAAGATAGAAGGGATTTAGGATTTCCAGGTCCCATATCAACATTTTATTTCAAGATTCAAAGGATTGATTGCAGAGTTTTATATTTTGTTCTCTGACTTGATCTTGAGGTTACTTTCATGAGAATAGTTATCAATTCCTACCCCAGGGGCACCCACTAGACTAACTATGTGTGTCTGCAGTGGAATATTTCTTTTCTTTTTAGAGTGTGTGTGTGTGTGTGTGTGTGTGTGTGTGTGTGTGTGTGTAGGGCAAAGAGGTATGTGCATATGTGTTCAAGTACCTGTGAAGGACAACATACTATATCACATCCCCTGAAGCTAGATGGGTGGTGCTAGGAACCAAATATGGGTTCTCTGTAAGTGTAATGCATGCATTAATCCTTGAGTTATTTCTGCAGCCTTTCGTAGGACATTTCTTAATCCTATCATATAGCCTAATGCCTGAGTGTCTGCTCTATGACTAAGTATCTCTTCCATGAATTATATCTGTAGTAATAGAATCCATATATTTCTACTAACCAGTCTTCAGAAGACTTTTATCCAGGAAAAACATTATTTTCAAATGTGTCAGAAGATAAAACTCAGCCACTCACATCAAGGGTCTTTGTTTTATTGCTGTGAAAAGACACCATGACAAAGGCAACACTTAAAAAGCCAAATATTTAACTGGAGATGGCATATAATTTCAGAAGTTCAGTGTGTTCTTATCATGGTAGGAAGCATGGCAGCATCCAAGCAGACATAGTGCTGGAGAAGAAGCTGAGAGTTCTACACCTTGATTCAAAAGCAGCAGTCAGGAGAAGGGTATCTTTGGCAGGCAGACAGGAGAAGAGCTCTTCAACACTGGGTGGAGCCTGACAGTAGGACCTCAAAGCCCACCCCAACAGTGATACACTTCCCCCAACAAGGCCACACCTCCAAATAGTGCCACTTCTCATGGGCCAAGCATATTCAAATCACCACAGTTCACTCTCTGGCCCCCATAGGCTTGTTCAAACACATGAGACTACAGGGGCCATACCTAGCTATAGCATAATGTAAAGTACATTTAATCTAACTTCAAAAGTCCCAATAGTCTATCATAGTCTCAACAATGTTTAAAAATTCAAATGGTGGACTTAAATCGAGTTGTCGCTACCACTTAGAAGTGGTTGCTGCATTGTTTGTGTAATCCATGTGGTATGTGGAATGAATGCAAGGAGTCAAGGAGATTGTATTTAGCTGTCCTGTGAGGAAGTGGTCACCAAGCATAGGTTGTGTAAGACATCAAAGTACAGGGAAGAGGAGAGAACTGGACATTCTCCATAGGGAGTGACTAAGTCTACTTGTATCATGAAGAAGTTAAGCTCGTGTTGAAAGTGCTGGTAAGGCAGCATAAAACTAAGAATTCACTAAGCCAGGCTCTCAAATATAAATACTATAAGTGGATAATCATTAAATTTCCACAATGCCTAAGTGAACAATATATAGCCATCTATCATTCTATACACACAGCATCTATACTTTCTTCTCCTGAAAATGAATCTTTATTTTACCAAACGGAAACCAACTTCTCCCTTGCTTTATGCCTAGACTTTCTGAGAGGAGCATATGGTTCAATCTTAATTTAAATGTGTTTAAATACAACCAGACTAACACAACAGCTGGCCATAATCAGAACTGAGCTCTTGAAAAGATGTTCTCAACTGGATTTATACTAGCTACCTGATGCTTCTGTGAGGTATGGACCTAGGATCAACATAGTCAGGTCTATAAAAGGATTATTTCTTTTATAAGAATGGAAATTGGAATTAGAAAAACAGTTTGAATAGAGAGTAGGACCAAAATCAGTAACTATATACTTAATTATAAAACATGGGGCCTCAAGCAACAGCAGTTGGAACACACATGTGATATATGTATGTGTGTATGTATGTATGTATGTATGTATGTATGTATGTATTATTAAAAATCAAATACTTGAGCTAGCTTCACAAACAGGTGTGTGTTATCTAAGCTAGGTATCATTCTACTTAGATATGTCAGCTTCATTTAAATGAAAGCACCAGGTATCCACATGCTTCACAGTAATGTCAAGGCCATAAAATGCATGTAGAAAATGAGCCATGCATTCATAGACCAATGTTTATTTGGTCATGATGCTGTCAGATACTATACAGAACATAACAGGAATCCTAGGAAATAGGTTGGAGGCATTCTTGGAAAGTGTCAGTAACATCATATTCCTAGAAAGCACTCCAGAGGCCATAGCAGTGATTCATGGTGCTGTAAATTAGCCATTCTAGACAGAATTTAGATGGAGGCACCACCAGTGTGCATTGTAACACAGAGTACCTGCTCCTTATGCACTTCACATCAGAGTCAGATGGAAGCAAAGCAGAGGTGGGATCAACGTCTTTAGGCAATAAGTAGATGCTGGAGAGATGGCTCAGTAGTTAAGAGCACTGAGTGCTCTTCCAGAGTTCCTGAGTTCAATTCCCAGTAACCACATGGTGGCTCACAACCATCTGTGATGGGATCCGATGCCATCTTCTGGTGTGTCTGAAAACAGCTAAAATGTACTCATATACATAAAAAATAAATAAATGTTTCTTTTTAGAAAAATAGGCAGTAAGCACAAATCCCCAGTCTCGGGATCATGGCTCTTCTTAATGCCTTCACCATTTAACAATATCTCAATCGCCAAATGAACAAAATATGTCAGCTCTTTAGATTCCATTCTTCCTCAGGCCAGCTACAGGGACTGTGAATCTCTGTCAGTCCTGGATCGGAATTGAGTTTCCCAGTAACTACTCTTAGGCCAGTGGACCTTCTCATCCCTTCCTTTTCCTTTTTTTTCTTTCCCTTTCCTTTTTTCCTTTTATTTTTTCTATTTCTTTTGGTCACTTAATTCCTTCTTTCTTCACACCTTCCTCCAACTGGGTCCCTTCATTGCTCTAACTCTTTAATGATCTATACCCCACCCCAGAGAACATTATACAGTAACTTTTTACACTTCTAGTGAAAGCACTTTTTCATACCTATTCACTGTGCTCTATTTCCATCCTGTACTTTCTTGGACAGTTCATTTTCCTCTTGTACTTTGTTTACTTTGCTTCACATCCTG